CTACAACCCATGTCTAAGCAAAAGCTTGTCGAGGAGCGAGGGGAAGCAGGGAGAAGATTACTATAATTCTTTGTTTTTGACTGCTTGAGAATGTGTTGACGACGTTTTCTCGAGAGGGGTGCTTGTTAAGACTCTTCTTAGTGAAGTTCCATAGTCATAAGAAGAAGTAACCTGAAATTTGAGTATTCGATAGATCCGGGAGTTGAGATGATTTGTGGATACAAAAGGTGAATAGTTTTTGAATTGTTGCCGTTTTACTTGGCGATATATGTACGGAGGATCTCGTAATCGTGTCTCGTACCGAGTAGGGGGGCTGTTTGTGTGTGTACTCGGCAGGATACGAATCTCCGAGATCTCCGGGGGTTACGCAGATAGATATTGTACATGATGAGTGTGATGGACTTGACGCGTAGGCTCTGCTTGCCTGCCCATGTCTCTCACTCGTTAATAGTTAATCAAGGAACTTGAGTCACTCCTTTGTGCAACACGCTCTCGACAAGAGCCCGCGAGCGTGATAACATAGTACACGCGCCGACACCCCAAACATGATGTGAGAATATTTGAAATCACACCCTGGTCAAATGACGTCATTTCATGTGAGATATAGAAATATATTTTGAAGAAGTTTTCACCTGGTCAAGTGGCGTCATTTGATCTGAGATTAATCGATATTGTTTCATCAGATCTTTCCGATTATCTGCCATGCACTGGGACCCCGTGAGGGGGTAGCATGTCTGTGTGTGTGCAAGTGTGGACTGTACCACATAGCTTTATTGGCCGTGAGAAAACAGCAACATACAGCAGTCATCGTTTTACACACATACACACGCACTGAGACTGACGTCTTTTCATTGGTCAGCCGGTTAGCGCGGTCGATGCTAATAATAAAAACACACACCCCTTGTCGTCCTCCTGACTAAAGCAGAGAGATCCATCACACAGAACCGATGAGAGACATGAGCAAAATGCACGTGATATGTATGTATGTGTTCCGAGCCGAGTTCCGAGAGCCAGTTGCGATCTTCCGTCTCCTCATTTATTTTTTCCGGAAGAAATAATTCTCGGAATATCCTGCAAGTTGCCGTTCCTCTGACATTTTGGGAGAGATGAGATACTAGCCCGCGCGGTCGCACACACATATTGCAAGTTAGCCGTGTCGCACTAGCGCAGTCCCTAACACACGATGGGCACATGGTGAATGGTGCATAAAGCGTACCATGTCGTAGTAAGCAGACATGTGCGGGCTATGTCGTGTGTACACAGGGAAGAGGGTGCTGAAAACTTCTCGCATTAAAAATCGAAGGCAAAGTACCGCAGGAGGGCAGGGTAGAGAGGGGCTCTTCTGTGTGACTACGGGTTGGAGTAAACAGCACTAGTGCTGCGATCACTGAGTTGAAATGAAGACCAGAAGAAAAAAGAAAACATCACGGAAGAGGCACTCTTCTCGTTCCGAATAATACCTTTTGGCGACCAGTCGGCCAGGGGGCAGGGAAGCAAGAAGATCGAATCCGTGATCAAATACAGCACGAGCGCCACCCCCGTCCTCTCACAACTCCTCCTTTTCCTCCTCCTCTTCGCACCCTCAAGCTACAAAGGAACGACACCCATCCATCCCATCTCGACTCTACGGTTTGCAGGTAAAAGCATCTACTGCTGTATCATTTCTATCCAATCTGCGGGAAGATGATGTTGTGGCGAAGAAGGCGATGTCCTTCGTACCATAACCAGCTGACCATCACCAACCGAGGTTGGCACACTCCGCTGAAGCTCAGGCTGCAGGTGTTGGAATATTCAGCGCTCGCTGTGGTTCCAGCCAATAAAACTACCATTTCCGGCTCTTTCTCGGAAGGGAGAGCTGTTGTGACGCATTGTCCGGTTCGCGATCTTGGCTGCGCCGTCTGGGCAATGAAAATGTGTCGATGATGATGATGACGCTGTCAGAGTTGCGAGTATGTCCTCCGCCTCCCGTGTTCAGCGGCAACAGAAAACAGATGCGCTGCTGTTTTTTTCTTCAACAGACTAGACTAGTGTACTTTACATCAGCTCAAGCGCGGAACTCGCTGCAAACCGGCCAGCTGTCAACCAATGCGTGTCTACCCCACACATCACGACGTGTGTGTGTGTGTGCAGGAGGAAAACAGTTGAGAGGTCTCATGCGCATAGCCCAACAAGCTCATTAGGGAAAACCGCATGCGTCGGCTCACATACATTCACCGCCCCAAAATGTTTCTGAGACACAAGGCACGTACGTGCTGCTGCGCCAAATTTCTGAAACAGGCGCCGTGTGTGGGGAACGCAGACGGCGACTTGGCTATCGATTACTGCATCTCGTGGAAAACTGCAGCAGGGGCAGACAACGGGGACACTTGCCCAGAATGCGACGACGTTATCCTCGTCGGTACACCGGCCAAGTGCAACTGTGATGAGGCGAACGTTCTCGTGATCCCGGATGTCAAAGTCTGCCCGGTACGCCCTCGCCACATTATTTAACTAGCTAGTTGAAGCAAAGACGGGTAATTGTGCACGGCCAGCGTCGCGGGTTGGTACCCTTTTACAATCTTTGATTTTTTGTATCTCTTGGTGATGATGTTGTTGCGTTCCCGCCCGTCCCGTAAGCGACGACTTCACCATCGGGTGTTGGACTTATAGTGGTGATCGTTTGGAGACGGCCTCTGTTTGTCCTTTCGCCCGCCGAGAAGAAATGCATCAGGGAACGAATGATCCGTTTCGTCAGGCCCCAATTCGTGGTACGAGGTAGAAAAAAACACCGTACCCCCGGTACAGAAGGAGGCGTCCCCTAGCTTTTTTTTTGTGGTCCTCGTAGTGGTTCGGGAAGGAAGACAAAACGCTCTCCCTCCCTCTTGCGGCTGATGTCCTTTCCTGTTGTTTTGTGTGTTATTTGTGTGTCGCAATGTCTTGTTAACACAGGTCGAGACAGATTTCACCGTAACTGCGACTGCAGACGGCCCCTGCTACGGAGATGGAACGAATTTCATCATCAACATCGGTGAGTGGGGTTCAGCCGTAAGTAAGTCTTGCCGTTGAGTCATGCTTTTCCCGTCGTCGATGGCAACGCTTTCTTAATTGCTATCAGGCGGAGTGTGTTGCCGGAACCAATCGTCGAAATGTTGCTACCGTGTGGTAGCTAGTTACGAAAAGGGCGGGTTGTACTTTGGGCCACACGGCGGTGTTTGCTGACGAGAATTTGGGGCGTGCTCACGCACTCCCCAGCTGACGACCAAAACAACAGGTTCTGTTGTGCGTTGCCGCTACGTGTCGACCTTTCCCGGACACGTGGGACTCAACAACCCGCATCCATCTTCCCTTATGTCTGGCAAAACCTCGCGTCACAGCCGGCACCCTCCCAACGGGTGCGGAAGCCGAGTATGTCCTCACGGACGAGGACGACAACCAAACCGTTCTGGGCGACACACTCGTGACCCGAGGCCACATACACTCTCGCCGTGATCGTCATCTTCCCGGACGTCAAAGATTGCGAGCCGTTGATCTACGACTTGATTCCCACCTGCGGTGAGTAGTCACCTATTGCTGTGGCCCCGTGCGGTGTAGTAGCGCGCTTCGAGCAGAATGTGAACGAGCTATCAAAGCATGTTCCACGCGAGAGATGAAACCTTGTGCGTTGTGTTTTTCTTGTGGTGTTTCGAGGACGACCAGACGTCGGTCGGCCGTTCAGGGTTGAGAATCAGACGATTCGTGGAAGAGGTCTGTACTGCTGCCCCCGAAGGCTTCTGACGCTCTCTGAAGATTGCGGGTTCGACTATCTCCGGAGTGCAAACTTCTCGGTCTAGTTGGTGGAGTGCTATGTCGTGAGTAGGCCGACGAGGGGAGAATCCTCTGAACCCTTGTCGGGTTCACGTCTGACTGCAAGCATCGCAGAGGGAAAGGCACAGGAAGAAAAGGACGCTGTCCACACGTATCTTACCCCAGTGCGCCCTCGGCTGGTGCTTCAAGCATGGTCGTAGCGAAAGGCGCACATCGGCGCCCAGAACAGGTTCATGGAGACAACATCACCCATCTTCTTATGTGTTAGTCATGCTGTTGGTGCTTCTCTGCCGTTCGTTCCCCGCGCTTCTGACACATGCGATTGCCCTCCCCGGTGCTTTTGTTCTCTCTCGTGCTGCCGCAGTTTGCGAAACCGACGAAGACTGCGCGTGCGACCCAGGCGTCGACCCCCTCTGCACCTCCAGCGACCTAATCTGCTGCGTAGAAAGGGAGGTTTGCGACGAGTTCAGCACTGGAGACAACGGTGGAACGGCCTGCGGTACGCCGTACATGCTCTCCTGTCCGCCTCAACCTCTGGCTTGACTACACCGCTATTTCTGTTGACCACTGCTCTTGCCGATGGCTCTTTTGCGCTATTGCCATCTGTGTTAGTCACCACACCTACCGTACTACTGTAGGGCATCTTCATGTTGCCCTGAGACACCGTCGTTGCCGCTATCGCTGACGGTGGCAATGCTAATGGTTGATGTCGAAAATCGTCACGGGTCATGCACCCAAGCGAACGTTGAGGATTTGGTCACGTGTACTGTTGTGGGTGCATATACACTGGTTTAAGACCGTTCTGAACGAAGTACGTATTCGAAGCTCAGAGCCCACCAAAGGGATATCGATGATGCTGTGGCCCACCAGTTGACGGCAAACCTCTAAATTGCCATGCTTGTATGGCTATGTCCTGGAGTGTTGTGCAGGTGACCCACACCGTTTCGCCTTCTCGACTGCGTTTCATCCGGTCTACGTCAACTCTAACCCAGATCCAATGCCTCCCGTGTTTTCCCTTTCAGGTGGCCCTCACATGACTGGGTTCCTGGGACAGAAGTTCGACTTCACAGGAGAGGATGGAGGGTGGTACTCCATCATCGCCGACTCCAACATGAACGTGAACATGCGGGTCACTTCCCCGTCGTCGACCTGCCCGAGATCACCTACATCACAGGTACGCGTACTCTGATTCTCCACAAATCACGAGGGAAATGAGGTTGGGTTTCAGCAATATTTTCGAGCAGTTCAGCGAGAAAATACAGAGATTGGGGGCGTACTCGAGCGCCGTACTCGAGCGCCGTACTCGAGCGCCGCTTGCTTGAGTCCTGTATCCGTTGACCACGCACTTGAAGGGCAACCTTTTCCTACCGGAAATTGCAACAACAGTCTATAACTCGATTTCGGGGTGTCAGAATCTGTCTTCGACGCGCGGGTTACGCGATGCAAGACTACAGTACCTTTCGCGGTCGAGCGAGTAGAGCGCAATACTATTCTCGGCGAAACTTCACCCCAACTGGAAAAGAAACGTGTGCCAGGATAGGAGCAACTCATCATTCCCATGGCCGCACACACGGCATGTCATACCATGTGAAACCAAAACGTTCCCTTTTCGTTGCCTCCCTCTCTCTGCTGGTGCGGACAGGCCTTTCCGTCCTCACCACCGACGCAGACGGGTCCGACCACAGCATCGTCATCGAGGTCGCCGAGCCCCACAGCTTGGACAGTTCTTGTCCGGCAGGCGTTTCGCCTTGCCTCGCGGACGGCGCGCTGAGGGTGCTCCTCGACGGGGACGAGGCGCTGTTCGCCCACGGCACGGTTTCCCTGGGCCTAGGCGTGGAAATCTCTGCGGTCAACCTCCCCGGCGCCTGCCGCTCGTTCGGCTTCGAGAAGGTACGCCGAACGTCATTCTTTTATTATTTCAGTAGCTTCTTCCCGCCTCGCCTCGCCTCGCCTCGCCTGGTTCGGTTGCTCTTCTAGACGTCGTTGTTTCAGTCAACCGCATCTCCCCCCTCCTGCTGTACGTCCCACTGGTCACCTCGAACACTTGTCGTCTGTGGAGAAATGAATGCCCAGGGCGACTGTGGCGACTGCTAGGAGCCCCACCCGTTTAGTTCTCACTACCGTGTGGTGGCTGCGATTGCCTGTCGCGTGACGGTCCTGGTATTGTTTGCAGTACTGGGAGCACAAGAAGCTCGAGTACGCCACCGGCGGCCGTCAGCTGCGCACCCAGCCGAGCATGGGCGAATGGATCCTCGGGGTAAGAAGTAGAAATTGATGGCCAACTCTTTGTGTTTACGGGCATAACATGAACGTCATGTAACTGTTGTTGCAAAGCCCTGATGAACGTTCCGCCAAATGTTCCTCGTATGATTTGAAGGAAAAACGCTGGGGTACTCGTGCTGATGATGCCTCGATCAACCCGTGGACAACCTCAAATTTGCACTTGAACGTGGTTCTTACTGCTGGTCGTAGTTCCAAACGTGATGCAGTATCCCATTCCGTTTTTGTTCTTCACCTGCCGCTTTTTTTGTTCCAGGACCCTACGGCTACCAACATGGACGAGTGTGTGGAGTACGTGGCGCGCGCTGAGGCCGAAGAGGGTGGGATGTTTGCCCACCAGTCCGAGCACGCCTCCTTCCAGATCGTGACCCCCGCTGCCACCGTCCGCCTGAGCCACGGCAGGCTTCACCAGATCGCCATGCGTGACCCGACCGACCAGTACGACCTCCCAGACCACCTGACCTGGCAGATGAACCTGGCCGTTGACCACAACCAGGTGAGAGATGTGTGTACATATGCGTGCCATATGTTGTTAGCCTATAGTTGGCAGCATGCCCAGGATGAGTGACGGAGCTATCGCCCCCTGGTCTACATGTTTCGACTTTCTTGCTTACTGTCACACTGCACTGCTGTCTTCAGTATCTCTTGCTGGCGATCAGGTACCACACTCAGTAGTACGAGGGGTGGAACCTTAATCTTGGGTGGGGCTTGAAAGGATCACGTATTCGAACGTTCGAAGTACGGGAGACCTGCTGGAGAAACACGGCACCTACTTGCAGAGCACAGTAGGGGGGGGGGCTTCATGTTTTCGTATGGTTATTCTTCCGGGAGGGCAAGGTTTGCCTCCCCTGTTTGCGCGGGGGGACGGGGTCGGTTGGGAACTGAGTGAGGGGACGGAAGCCCAATCACTCCTCAAGATATCCCACGTCGTCGCGCACGGGGGGGTAATACTCTTCTCGCAACGTTCTAGTTACACAGTTTCGGGAAAGGTCCAAGCTCACCACGTGTACGCAAGGGCGCAGCAGCAGCATCAGACAGACATGAGAGTGCCTCTCAATAGAAGAGGAAAGTCTCCCAAGCAAAAAGCGTTTCTTGTTGCTGCTTCCGCTGTACACAGGTGAGCTATGCTGCCAAGGGCATCCTCGGCGAAACATTCGTGCCGACTCGTGACGCCAGCGGTAAGCCCATCATGACCGGCATGGAGGCCATCCGCGGAACGGAGGAAGACTGTAAGTGTGGCGGGAACGTGATGATGAACGTTCAGTACGTGTGCACGCTCAGTGCCTTCAAACTGCCTGATCAATTTGACACAGACCTAATGCATCTTGAAGCCTGACGATGGCATCACCTGAGGTCTACTTATGAAGGTTTCGCTCCGCTTACCCCCTCATCTGGTATCATTGAGGCGTGCAGGCAGCGCAACCATATTCGGGTGCTTTCTAGCCAACCCTTTCACTTTGCTTGAGTCTCGGTATTTCAAGCCTATGTGGTGTTTCTGTGTAGTTGTTGTTGCGTTCGTTGTTGCGATTTTCGTGCAGAACAAGTACTAACAAGTTCGTATGTGTTTCTTCAGTCAATGCATTCGACTATCTGTACATCGGCTCTGTCACAAGATTTTTCATGTGGGGTGTCGGTGGCTCTTCTTGTGATGTAGTTGCGCCCTTTCTTCGCTCGATTTCATGTCGTTCCAACACGGGAGTTGGCGCTGATTCGCGGATCTGCGCCGTCTCAAGGCTGTTGAACCCCCGGCCTGCAACACGGAGAATCCTCCGTCAATCGACCGTGAACGTGTTTCGGAACTCTGCTGGTCGCGTGAAATGTTGTCCTCATTTACCTTTCTTCGATGCTCGTTCTTTTTGCCTTTCGTGGCTTGGCAGACCGCGTGGAGGGACCTCTTAGGGTGGACTTTGTCCAAGACGCCCACACCTCTTCGGCGGCGCTGGCCGCAAACCGGAACGTGTGAATGCAATGGGCCATTCCAAGCACGTCGTATACCGACAGGAGGCTTCCGTTGTGGCAGTGTACACAGGTCTAGCGGGCCCCGTCGCCCCCGCTGACCTCCAACCGGAACGTACGCGTGAACATGGAAATGGACTTTGCCGAAGCACGTTCATATTGACACGAGGTTCCCGTTGTTGCTTGCAGGACGCAGGTCTAGTTGGCTCTACTCCGCTAGGAGTTGGAGGATTTGTATCGTACCGTGTTTTTTCGTTGTGTTTTCGGAATCAAAACTGTGGGGGTTCTAGTGCCGGTTCCGGACCGTTCTCGACAAACCCAAGATTTGTCTGGGTTCGATAACAGATGATGAATGAGACCCACACTGCAACTTGTCTATTCCCCAAAAGATAACTTATTTCACAAGGTGCACCAGTAAGACGACTTTTTCATCCACGGTGCACCATGGGGTGTCATGGCGTGGTCCATGAGAGCCCATGGTATCTCGTGATGGGTCATGGGGCCCATGAGATGCCGTTATCGAGACCAAGCTACAATCTCAGGGATGTCTGGTGGTGCCCCATGGAACCCCATGGGGTCTCGTGAGATACGGTGAGACCCACCCCATGGGGCCCCGTTGGGTCTCATGAGATAACACGAGACTCGCCCCATGAGACCCCATGGGGTATCATGGGGTACCACAATACATTGTCATATGGCTGTCTCATAAAAATATTGACCCCACACAAGGTCCCATGGGGTACCATGAGACACATGAGGTTCTCATGGGGCCCCATGACTACCTCACGAGACGCAAATTTATCTATTTTCATCTCTTGTTGTGGATCTCATGACCCACCACGACCCACCATGAGCTGCCATTATACACCACGGCGCACCATGAGGTCCATGGCAAACGTTTTCCTTCCGTGGATCTCATGATAATCTCATGAGACTTCCCATGGGGCACCATGACAGTAGGTCTATGCGCGTCTTTTTGTTCTGTACGCGCGCTCGTTGGTTTTGTTGTCCGTTTGGTGTCACGCATTTATTTGTGGCGTTTGCCGGGCTTGCCGCCGGCATCTTCCCTGCCCGGTATCCTCCCGTGCCGGTGCGGAAGGAGCCTGGCATTTTTCTGACATGTTCCTCCGCAGTCAGTCGGCAGTCATGGTTAGGAAAGATGCCATGGATACGGTGTCGGGAGGTTCTGAGCCTTTCCGAGGCTATTCGATGTTCTGCCGTGCGGTGACGTGGAGGTCGACTTCTGCTCGATTTCCGCCGTCCGCAAGTGGACACAAGAGGGTTGTTGTTGTTGTTGACTTCACATTAAACCGTATGCCAGTTGCTAAATGCCAAAATCTAGCAAAGACTCTCGGCCCGTGGTCACGAAAGTGCTGGAGCCATCTGAGGATCTAAAGAACACGCACACGTAGCAAGAAAAAGGTGTACAAGAGCCCGAAGAGGTACTACTACACCTATATATAATCCCTGCAGCACCGTACGCGTGCCCAAAACTGAACTACACGTCCGTCTCACCGT